ACACATTCAGAACTACTTCTGCAGTGAGTGGCAGAAAATTGAAATCGAGGCTCAATGAATTGATGCCATACCCAAAAATTTTTACGATTGTGACACAGCGAATGATATCAGATTGCAGTAATATATACGCATGTATTATTGTCTGATATATTTACCATAAACTTTTGCGAAACTCGTGGTAGAATATAGTTCCACCCTGTGTGTGTAAACAAAAGCTTGATAAATTTTTTCATTACAACTTGATATACAATTCTAAATGCTTGAGATTATTTTTTATAAAATATTGTTATTCGTCAGACCGTTATTCACATCATGCGTGCAGGATTCAAATGCTGATGATGGAAATAAAATTTTCCGAAAGCTTGGACTAACTTAAAAGAGTACTCACTAGTCCGGCACAGCACAGCACGGCGCTGTCTGTCGCTTGATGGCGACGGGTAGTAGCATCGCCCACGTGTCCAGCTACAACCAGCATACTGAAGGTGCTGTTTGTTCGATTTCAAGGGAATTTCAGTTGACATCGAGCAATGACAGAAACATCTCTATCACTAGCAGTTCTGACGAAGAAGTCGTCATTATAGTGACCGCATTATTGAATGTAGAAGAAAATAGTCACAAAAAAGAATGTTGTGGGACAACCCAATAAACAAAAGAGGGCAAATCTGAGAGAGTTTCATCATCTTTTCAACGATCTGAAAGAAAACGAGGAGAAATTGTTTCAGTATTTCTGAATAACTCCAGGCAAAATATTTCAGAACTTCTGGATATTCTAGAGCCTACCTTAACAGGTAACTCCATGTTTCCTCGTCTGACACTGTGCTGGAAACTGATGGAATAGCAAACCAGATGGACAGAAACTTTCCAGGTACATTTGGACAAGTTAATGCTGGCAAGCGCTGACTTGGCCAGTCCGTCACAGCACGTAACGTTATTTGCCGGACAGGATCGGAGAGCTGGAATCCTTTCCGGCGGCGGACGCTCTTGGCTGTGCCGTGCCGGGCTAGTGGGCGGTTGTCCATTCATTTTCATTGTTCCAATCCTATCCCTATTTTGACGGGACGGACCGTGTTGTGCCGGACAAGTGGGCGACAAGCTTTATTGTTTTATCGCTGTCCACCTGTTTTTGTTTGACATTGGGAATAAAAAAGTTGTTATGCGATATATCACGAACATACGGGCAGTGAGTTATCAATTTAATGTTTTTCTCCTCTGAATAATCAATGATGCGACATTTGAGGTTTTTCCTAATTCCCTCGAATACTTTTGGCCAAGAAATTATTGTATACCTACCACTCAGCATTAAGTGTTTTTTAATCGTCCCAAGGAATGGTAGCTATATGTTCAGTGGAGCCGGAAGGTAACAATCTTTCTGGAATTTGGTTTGTCTCTAAATACCCAAACAGTTGTTGCGTGGTTTCAGTTCATACATATAGATACACGCCTTTGTCAAAACTGTTTTCAAGATTTTTTTGCGGTGGTCTGCAGGTTTTTATGCCTGACGTTTCGTCAACTACTGCGGTGGACATTATCAAAGGCGAAGATGCAACGGCGATGTATGGGCCGCTCGAATTCTACTTCGCTGTACCCATTCCCTTAGAAGGCATTTTTTAGGTGACTGAGTTTCTCAGGAAGACCTCAGGATCTCAGAAACGTAGTGCCCTCTCAACCAACGTTTTGATTATCGCTCTCTTTTGCTGTGGCTGATAGTTAGACTTTTCATTCGGGTATCTGTTTTTGTGTGTTGTTTAAGTGTACACTCAATATCCAAATATCCCATTTTCACGTTTGTTCTCAAGAATATCCAAGAAGGCTATGGTCCTTTGGAGTTCTCGTTCTCTTGTGAACTGGATTTTTAGAATTTGGGTAATTATTTGCACTAATTCATACGCGATTTTTTTCTGTCAAATTACGCGGAATCCTCATTTTTAACATGCATTAATATTCATACATGCCAAAGGACTCTCCTATATTACGTCACATTTCGATCTTCTTCAACCATTTCGTATACAGAATCTATGTTTTTTTTGTAAATACAACCCATTTTGGACATCCTTTTGAACCACGAACCACGAATTGGAGAAAATATTTTCTGATGGTGCTTCATTACAAAAGGTTTGAAGAAGCGATTTTCTCNTAACCATTCATCTTTCATCTTTAGTTGGTATAAATGCTTCAATTTCTGAAACAACATAAGAAACTAAGTGACCGCTTCTCTCAATAGTTGTTTAATTAGTCTTGAATCCTTTAGCAAATAATCTCATTTAAAAATATCACAAATTAAACATATATCGCAAACAATTTATTAGAACAGTGAGACAGACAATATTATCTGAATAATTATGCTTCATTAGCTGAGGTTAGATATTTCCATATCTAATTATCTGATATATTAATACCACTAATGTTGCCTTAAATTGAATCCTAATGTAGGATTCTGTCATTAAATATTTGCAGTTTGATAAACTGCAATTGCAAACTAATACAAACATTTTGAACTCAACAGAGACTTTGTTAAGATTTATTTTCAGCATTGAAGAATATCAATGATTTGTTTATAAGTGGTTTATACTTATACTAAATACTTTCAGAAGTAGCTTCATTTTTTCAAAAAGCAAAAAAATATCAGGTTAACTTTTCAGTTTATGAAAGGACCTATTTTTTTTTAAATTATGTCATCAGATGTTAGTAGTAACTGTGTTTAATATGACTATCCATATCTAATAATAATTAAGTAATTTTTTTTGTCGGTTCAAGAAAAAATGTTAACTAACTTTTGAGTACGTATTGTAGAACTTAGTGGGTTTTCTCTTTTTCTTCTCAAAAGACATACCTATTTCGAATTTTGTGACGTAAAAATATTTGTTTGAACTGATAATACATGTCATTGAAAATAACTTTGAAGTGACTAATATTCCGATGTGAAAATAATTCGGTGGTGACAATATTACGGCAACGTGAAAATAAGTATGAGTGTTCATTGTCACAGATCTGTCCCAGAGAAATAGTTTGAGAGTGGCTAATATTTCGGCAACTTGAAAATAACTTCATTCTTCAGTTAAAACTCTTGTCAATTTATATAATATTGTAATAATATATAATTCTTATATGATTCATAATTATGATTCTCAAATCTCCAAATTTTTTCAATAACGTTGGCATCATATAGGCAACATCTATATTCTTATTACTGAAGTAAGTCTATCAACTAGCTAATAACGATTTGTTACACTTATTTATTTGTTTTCTGATTTGCTCACAATGAAGGTTGTGCTGATTACATTTGAATAGAATACCATTTAAATATTAAACATTATTATTATCGCTAGCCAACTAATTATTGTAATGTGATAACGACAATTGGAGTGGATATATTCAAAATTGATTAGAAAGTAATAACATGAGAATTGAAAACAATAGCAAAAAAGACAAAATTAAATACTGTCAAATGTTGTTGTTGAAAGTTATTTCGGATCGAAATATGAATATATAATATTATTAGTCATTAATTTCGAACCAGTTTGTCTTTATTCGCCTTTCGTCGTCGCGAACACGAAAGAGGGGTTCAGTTTTTCTTTCATTCATTGAGGTTAAAAATAAGTACAAGATATGAAATGTATTTACCGAGAATTATGAAATATTCACAGTTTGTTAGTGGTGAAAATAACTATTTGTGCAGTATGGAAGAATTGAAACCGTATATAAACTTTTCGAAAAACTACTTGTGAACAAATGATAATACCTATATAATACTTCATCATTTAGGCTCAAAATCTAAAAAACTGACGACACGTGACACATTTAATACCACAGTATAGCTAAAACTTTCTAATATGTTGAAACTATCACCCAAAAAGAGCTCTCCCGGATTAAAAGGCTGTTTTGTCTTCATAAAAGTATATAAAAGTATGTACTGTATAGGTATAGCGTATTCATATGTATGTTATCGTTTTACAACATATAAACTGCCAAATGTTAGTTTAACATTTATTTCGGAGCCAAGTGCGATTTTAATTAGTTTATAATTTCGAACCAGCTCTGTCTTTGTGTTTGAGATTATGAAATGTTTGAAGTAACATTCTATTTCAGACTAAGTATTTACATTTTATATAAAGATAAAATTATATTTTTAGGCCTCTGAATCCCAAATTTGCTGAGGTACTCCGTTTGAATATTTAATAATATAGGTACTACACAAATGATGTTTAATTCCTAGATTTAACCAAAAATCAATTTGAATGGAAAGAAGTGCTGGGTTTCTTTCGAACAAATTTGCTTAGAGAGTGTAATATATATATTGATGATCTCTCTAATAAACCCTCTACCCTCTAAAATATAGACGGGNCTAAACATTTTCGCAGCTCAATGACCATTTTTTTAACTCAAACTTTGTTATTTTTATGCAATACCAATCGAGCTAAATAACAAAGTTTTCGTTGATAAATGCAATGTTTCGATTAAATTTTGAAGTCTTGTGCTATTATTATTGAAAAAGGTACATCAATAAACAGAAAACGTGCATTTACACTATACACTAATTTTTGCTTTATTATTTTTAATAACTTCATAAGAAAACATGAGCGAGACATGAGACAACTGAAGATGATGGAAGAACTGAATATAAAAGAGATTTTGCTCCAAAAAGTCTCGAAAATATTATGATGTCCTGCCCTGCAGCAGGTCTCTAGACATTCACATAAATCTTGAAACAGAAATTATAAACTTGCCGGCGACCTAAATAGTTTGCTAAATCGAATATTATTGGATTACATTTACTACATCTAGATCACATGCAACATAAACCCCCATCATTTATTTCTATCTAATATTTTTCTCTGTAAACAAAATGTAGCTCATTTGAAATCAAGTGCGTTCTTACTAACTCATTACACTATTAATACCCGGTCCAAGAAAAAGGTTCTAGGAAATAAAAATAATGGGTATTCTAAGCAGATAATATAAGCTGGCAACAGGAAATTTCACACAATGTCAGGTGTACTCACAGAAAAGCAACTGGAAACTACTTTGTGTTGGGAACGTACACACTTTTTATGAACCGTCAACAAAATACTACTAATTTTGTTTACACTAATGTATATATTACAACTACACTACTCACTACAAATGAATGAAAAGAAAGTCAAACTACATGCATCGTACTGTGATGCGATAGACAAAATCAGAAATGTGTCTGGTGTCTGGGCCTGGTTTAGTTTTACCACAGGTTTAACCGGCTGCAACGTTGATTGTGACACGACTTCGTCTGGTTTTAGGGATGCGATTGTGGGAGGGGAACTTTTCTGTTGCGTTGATATTTTTTCTTATTTCTGGGTATTTGATCTGTGATCTTTTTGTGACGACTGTTTCACTATAAGCGTAAGATAAGGTAAGAATAAAACAGCCGAAATAAATAGGATGTCATTTGTATACAGGACCGTCTCTAGAAACTTGTTCGTTGCTCACATGGCTGGCAATCATTGGTGAATCATAATAAACTGCGATCAGCAAATAACTTCGACTGAACCAGAATATTTTGTACATACGTATTGCATATGTTTTAAAAATACAGTTTTTCATAATACACACCCTTGAGTGTATAGGAGAAAGTCGTTTGGTATCGGACAGTTTTCTTTTTTTTAATATATTGAGGTTTTAACGTAAAATGATTTATATATCTATTCAAAATGGCGACGGAAAACTCAAGAATCACTACTTGTCCAATACCGGCATCAGTCTGATATTTCACGATCTTCCCCTTTATACACCCTCTAGAAACACTTCCAATTTGCCAGATGTTTTACTATTTTGTATCTATCATTTCTGTAATTCCAGTTTCTTCATTAACAGGACTATTCTTTTGATAATAATAATCATGGTTTTTGTTGTAAGGTGTTGAATAATGCATGAAAAAAAAAACAAAAAACAACAAACGAGACTAAACCAACAACCTAACAAATTTTAAAATTCAATCAGATAGACCTAAAACTTTTTTTATTGTGTATTGAAGTGTTAGGACTTTTTTTCTCATGAATTCGCATCAAAATATATTGAAACTGAATCAAGTCCAAAATTCATACCGTTTTTGAAAAAAAGTGTTCCTTTTAAAAGGATGGTAGGACTTTGAATTACTAACAAACTATTTTCAATTTTTGTGTTTATTATGAGCAACAGAATACATATAACATCAGTTTTCACTGTGGGTATGATATGAATAGAAACATCATTTGGGGTGAAGTGTAATATTACATTTGCAACATTTAAAATTAGCTTTTTTTGTGACAAAAAACACAAAACGTTTNGTTGAAACGTTTTTAAGTGGTCAGTATGTGAGTATTATTGATAACTTTAATTATGCAGTATTCGAGTAAGTTTCCTTTCATTGTTCTCCTGATATTACAATAAAACATTTTTTAGTTATACTCATTCGTGAAGTATCCAGTACCAACTAGAGTTTTTCGTTTCGGAACAGTGCTGCGCAATGTTTTTGAATGAGATAATTAAATTACAATAGGGTTGCCGAAAATCAAAACACCACTAACATGCCCGACTAGGCCAGTGGTTTCAACTAAGTCGTGGGTGCAACTAATTTAAGAAAAAAATTATTTTTAACAAAAAGGGGAAGGACCACCAATTTTTAATGGCCAGGTAAAAACCGGAAAACTGCCGTGTTGGTCGGTGGTTCAAGCCCTAGTCTGAACGATCGATCTTCACTTGCTATCGTCCAATCCGTGTTAGGAATCACACGTTAAAAGGTAAGACCTCGTTAATCCTTAGCTCGCACAAGTTTCTGAGGGTTGTCGTTCGTAGGGGTGCGACAGCTGGTTAACGGAAAAACAATTTTTTTTTTATTATTAGCAAAGGTAAAGTCCACGAAACTTCTTCAAGAGAATGAACTGGCAATCGTATTCAATTTCCCAAATTCAAGCCGATGCAAATACGTTTTTCTTTGGGAAATCTAACACCCTGAAGAAAAATATTCTCGTAATCAAAAAGTAAGGAAAGTAAGGACAAAGTTCATTACGAGTCGCATAGCCGAGTTGAACAAGGTTATTTGAAAATACTGTACTCAGGGCCGTCGCCATGATGGAGGATGGGGGGGAGCCTCCCCCCTGCTTTTTCGACTTATGAAAAAGTTGAGAAAAAGTAAGGACATTTTTGGCCGTGATGATAGAAAAAAATAATAGTAAAAAAAATAATGAAAATGATAAAAATAAAAATGGTAGAAAAGAAAGGGAGTGGTAATAAGAAAAAGGAAAGAACCGGGAGAAGGTTGTCCCAACATGCATAACTTGGAAATCCCATACTTTGAAATTCT